AGGGGCCAAAGTATAATATGTGGCGAAAAACAGACTTCAGCATTGGAATCAGCGTCCAAAACTGTACCCATGGACCAGTTTTTATGAAAATATAAGGGGGTCCGAATGTGATTCTGAAAGTGAATCTGAATGCCTCTAGGGGCAAAGTATAATATGTGGCGAAAAACAGACTTCACCATGGGAATCAGCGTCCAAAACTGTACACATGGACCAGTTTTTATGAAAATCTAAGGGGGTCCCCCTTCGCCCAAAAAAACTTTGAATGCCTCTAGGGGCCAAAGTATAATATGTGGCGAAAAAAAGATTTCACCATTGGAATCAGCGTCCAAAACTGTACCCATGGACCAGTTTTTATGAAAATCTAAGGGGGCCCCCTTCCCCCAAAAAACTTTGAATGCCTCTAGGGGCCAAAGTATAATATGTGGCGAAAAACAGACTTCACCGTTGGAATCAGCGTCCAAAACTGTACACATGGACCAGTTTTTATGAAAATCTAAGGGGGTCCCCCTTCGCCCCAAAAAAACTTTGAATGCCTCTAGGGGCCAAAGTATAATATGTGGCGAAAAACAGACTTCACCATTGGAATCAGCGTCCAAAACTGTACCCATGGACCAGTTTATATGAAAATCTAAGGGGGTCCGAATGTGATTCTGAAAGTGAATCTGAATCTGAGGCTGTCTTGACAGACGTGTTTCGCGCTTAGAACCAGGGCACAACAGAGGTACAGGTCCCCTTGATTTTTGCATTTTAACATTAGCCCTATGGGCGTTGCATGGAAGGAATGGGACCAAAAGTCGGCAGTGCCCCCCCCCTTGATTGAAGTTTTTCCGCCGCTACTGTTTATAAGAGCAATTTTCCATTTCCTATAATAACCGATGGTTTCTTTCCAGGCTAATCGGACACGTGGACGCAGAAAAAGCAGTGCCGTGGCACGCGCGGTCGGTCGACATCGCTTGACTTCACGTTCAGTTCTCCTCAACAGTTCACCGATTCCCATAAGCGTATTACGTTTCGGGTCTCAGCACACAGGCAACAGCTGAGTGATAGAGTGTCGGCTATGAAAGCCATAAAAGTGATACAAAGACAGAACTCGATGGGATTGCATCTTTGTTTTCAGCCTTTGAGTGAGGCTGCTGGTGTGCCTCGGGTAGCGAGAGGTCAAGTCGGGTCAGATTTTGATGGTAAATGACATTGTAATGTAGGCCTATCTATAAGCTATGAGTATGAAGGCCCTCATAAAATAAGCGTTTTGACTCTCTCTTCCGTTTGTGCTGACCTTTAAATAGCGAAAAGCCAATACCCACTGACTTATTGGCTTGCCTCCAGATTGGCTACGGCTCCGATTCTGCTTAATAGCAAAAAAAAAGTTATCAAATTTCAGACACCGAAGTGTGATATTTTTGGAGAAAAATGATGTCGGCTTCCGTTGAAACTCCAAGTTTTGGCTTTCCGATCGTCATTTTCGAATAATATATGACATAGTCAAACCCTGGGCATCTTTCCCCACTCTTCCCTAATAAAGCCACGTACTCCGCTTAATAAAGCCACTTGGGAGTTGCGAAGTCCGCAGTAACGTCTCCCCATTCGAAATGTGGCATCAAAAAACCCGTTGCTAAGGAACCGCGCTGGAGCAGCGGTCTGCAGCAGTTAGAATTCTAAAAACGAAGGAGTTCAGAGCTATCAAGAGCGCAATTACTATACACTTCAGAGAAATGTCCCACAAAGCAGGCACGCCCGACTGCTTCGTTGGCATAGCAGGCATGACGGGGAGTGACCGTGGATGGATATGTTGACTTAATCGCTGCGACAGCTTTGCGGTGTGCGCTGGTCACTTTCAGGGGGACATGCCCCCGCACTACGGTCTCTACGGTCGCAGGTTCGGGGGCACGTCCAACCCTAAAACCTGCCTTTAGGTATACATTAGGCTGCAATATTATGAAAGTCAAATTATTTGGGGTCCGGACCCCCGTGCCCCCACCAGTGGCGGAGCCCCTGGTCACTTTCATTGTAATAAGCAAGGCAATCAGAAATGCTTGCCTGTAGGTACGTACATACAGTCCACAGCAGAAGTAATGTGTGGTTTCAGTCATGGGTATGTTCTGCTTCTGAAGCCTAAGAACGATTAGCTGCAGACTGCAACGGGACTTTAAATGTAGCTTACATGTATCTTCACCCTTGCAGCTACAACTTTATCTATTGACGTCTTCTTTTCAATCAGTCCGCATTTAAAAATCGTCGGTCAAAGCCATCCGTTGAGATTGGTAAAACCACACATTGCTTTAGCGGTGGGCTGTACGCTTGTAATGCGAGGGAACGGGACGCGCAGCTGCGAATCGCATGCTTTTTAACGAAAATAACTGACTCCGGTTAATAAAGCCACCGCTTAATAAATCCAAAATACCTTGTCACCAAGGTGGATTTATTAAGCGGATTCCACTGTACTTTTGTTTACTTTTTATGATCTCCGCTGTTCCTAGCGACTTTCCAAACTAATTGCAAGCAATAGTTTGGCAGCTAAAAGTGCGGCACTTGTTGCGCGCAAAGCAGCATATCATATAGGTACCACCGCGTGCTATCAAATGTTTTAGTTAAAGATTTAAAATCGTTAGATCTGCGCTGACGTTACACATTCAGAGGGGGCATTCAATGCATTAGCCCCTCTGAATCCAAAGTGCTGCAACGTTCAAATTAGATATTTTCGACTTGAGGCATTGCTCGATGTTGTGAGACGTGAGTGCTCAAATCGGTAAGTGCAAGCCAGGGACTCCATTTTTGGCTACCTCAACTCAAAACTAATGTTAACCCGCGCATGACTGGGGGGGGCTACAGAGCCCTCCTCCCGTTTTTCGGCCATATTTTCTAAACCGTTTGACGGATCAACACGAATCTTGCGGTACCCTCAGCGGCATCAATTTGACACCTTGTGTTAAAACTTAAACTTTCTAGCTAGCATAGGCTGACCGGGAATGACGTCAGAGTGACGTCATGTCGGCCGATTTTGATGCAAAATATTAAATTACGGCAAACGCTCTCAACAGCTTATACTTTTAAAGCTAGATCCAATTTCTTTGCATCGGTGGACTACAAATAGGTACACGTAGCTATCAAACTGCTATCTCGAATTTTCGAAATTTTGAAAATTTTGAAAATATTTTTTTTACAATTACAAAAATATATTTCTTGATTTTTTTTTTCAAAACGTTTTTGGTGTTTCGCAAAAACCGGAATATTTTTGATAGAACACACACTACCTGGTGAACTACTGTATTAAGTTTTAGCCCTATATCTTCAAAAAATAGCCAAGTTATTTGCCTTATTGTCAAAATTTTACAATTATTTATTTTTCAAAACCATTTTTCGTACAGCAATATAAATGGCGTCATCGTGTTTGTTCCTGAGCTCAAACTGCATCTGATAGGCGCCTTTTTTGTTGAAAAATTTCATTTTCAAAATTTGACCTTTTCTGACCTGAGTGACCTGACCTCCGGTAAATTCAGCTGAAAATGACCTCAAATGACACAGACGACATTATTTTTTTAAATCTACGAGTAAAATGGACCATAAAACATGCGTCACGTGACCGATACATGATATACAATTTTCGTGACCTAGGATGACCTGGACTTGACCTGAAAAATTCGAAGTAAAAGTTCGGTACCCTCAGGGGATCTAAGGCATATATCAAAGAGTGCGTAAACCAAAAATGAGCCTGATCGGACTTGTCAGCCGGCGGCCAGAGCCTAAATTGTGAACAAGCAAAAATGCCGATAATTTTTACTTTGACCTGACCTGTGACGTCATCAGTTACCTCGAGGCTAATGAAAATAGGTTTTTCTCGACAGTTTTTTTTTCCAGAACTATCAGACACCGTTTGAATTTTGACGATCGGCCCAGTAGTTTCGGAGATAGGCTGGAGAGCCCCCCCCCCCCCCCCCAGTCACTCGCGTTATGGAAATGCGTTATGCGCGGGTTAAGGTGGGATGGTCACTTTAAGCGGGTTCTACTGTATCTAGCCTGCAAAGACTAGGTACTCCCTATCTAACATAATTCCTAATCCCTTGCGCATTCCAAGGCTTTGAATTGATTAAAAAAAAAATCCATCCATAATATGACGAAAAGCAAGTTCAGACGAAGCCATCGCATTCTGTTTGTCACGTTCAAAACGGTCACCCAAGAGTACGTTCGGCCTTAGCTTTGGCAAAAGCTGCCTTGGAAAGGTAAGAGAACGAAATGTTTCCCAGTCAACTGGCGTAGAACATATTTTTTGCCATGCAGCGTCAACTCCGAATGCGGAGTTTCGAAGTCGCTCCAACCCCGAGTCCGACTCCCGGCAAGCCTGTCGACTCCGACTGACTCCGACTGACTCCGACTACGCAGCCCTGAAAGCCCTACTGACATATATCGAACTGAACATGAATACAGATACCCTATAAATGAGGCTGCAGCATAAATATTTTCGATTCTTCTGTCTGTTACAATATATTGTATCCGTTCTTTCACATCAATATTGCCCACACTACGCAAAAGGCGTTCCACCTTTATTGATTTCGCTTGACTTAACACCTCTTCCGGAGCGGGGGGCGGTGCGGCCTCCATAGGTACGGCTTCGGCAACAAGCAACATTTTTTTCGAAGGCTTCGGACTTAGGCTGTGGCCTCGACTTACAAAATGTACGGCTCTGGCTTCGTATCCCTGCTGTGCGTCGCGCTGCGACTGGTAAACAATACTTCGCTGGGATGTAAAACTATTTGTCGTGTTATTCCCGTACAACTTTATGATTGCGTTCTCCAAACGCGGCCAAGTGTAGAGTGTGTGGAGCCGCTCTCTAACCTAGTCTCGGCCCTCCCGTCTGCCTGTGAAGCGAGAACAAACAGAAAGTAATGGGAAACTCCCGGTGACATAATCAATTATAAACATTCCGGCTGGTGCGGCGGGATCTTCTGGGATTCCCTCGAGTTCCCCTACCTGCGCAGTTGGCGGCAGAGCGTCAGGCCATCTTGGTCCGCAGTCGGACGCATATGATAGAACATTTAGGTGGCATTAGAGAGCAGCACTTTGCCCAGCGCTTCCATCGCCGCGCCGGTTCGACGTGGTTGAGGTTGTTTCAGTTTATTTCGATGATTCGGATCTTACTTTTTAATTATGAGCGAAGCCCGGGTGAAACAGCTCACCTCAATGCCGTGAGGATTTGATAGTAATGGCGCTTCCCGTTCAACCGTTGCGTGCGATTTTTTACACGACTTCTTGCTGATAAGAGGAAAAAAGTGCTCCATCAGGCCATCAGGTGCACCCGACCTCGAATGACACCTTGCCGTTGCAATGCAGCTTCTGACACTACCCCGCACAGTCTGCCCATTGTCCTGTGACGATATGAAGGTCACTGGATCTCTCAGCCCGTCCAGACTCACATACCCACTGTTAGAGACTGTACGGCCCCAGCACACGAGCGGGGCTGTATGGTCGCGCCCGCCCCCGGCGCGGAAAGGCCTTGGTCGTCCACACGTCTGGGTAACCCGCGTCAGAGTGAGAGCGGCCCGTCGTCACTCCAGCGCGAGCACCATGGAGGCGCGGTGGTGGTCACTGGCTCTCGCCGCCGCTCTGGCGGCTCTGGCCCGCGTGGATGCCGCCAACCCGGTGCTGGCGATTCCCGAGGACTGCCCGCTGCCCGAGACCACCCGGAATAACATCCTGCGGTACAAGACCAAGGTGGACAAAATACTGCAGGTAAGCGTCGCAACTCAGGGCAAGTGGTGAAGGTGTGGTGCAATGGAGCGTTGTGGGAAGCTAAATCGACTTGCTGTTGCCGCGCTGTCGCATCACAAAGTGCAGGACTTTTTCAGAATGGTCCATGAACTTTGTGCTTCTTTTATGACCGCTTTATTTCACAGGATGTTGAAAGCTCTGAAGATGTGTTGGTGGGCATTATTTTTATTTTCTAATCTACGCGTACCCATATATGGAGTACTGCGTCGTTATCTGGAGAACGCATACCAACTAAATATTTAAAACGTTCCCCCCTTTTGGCGGCTTTTATATGTTTATATGCTATGGCTGGCTTTAACGGTAACCCATATCATATCATATCATATCAACATAGGGTGAATAGGTCAAAAACGCCCCCCTTAAGCGCGAAACCTTCTGACACTCAACCCAACACAGATTACTTAAACCTTTGGGCACCATCATGTAGCTCATTCTTTTTACTACCTTTTGAGACCAAGAAAAGACACCTGCGTGTGGTATTTAACCCCCCAAAAAGGTTTTCGCATACCCTTGCAAAAGGGCGTTTTGCCCCATACCCTGGGTAATACGCCCACACCCATGTGCAAAGCGCCCCCACCCCATCTATCAACAGAAAATGATGAACATGGCAGAACTTGACGTCGTTCTGACGTCATTTGTGGTCAACCTATCATAGCCTTTGGAATAAAATTTTGTTTCAATGTGTAAAATGGATGCCCGGAGGAGTCCTGAAAGTTTGGTGACGATATCTGCAGTCGTTTAGGATATATCAGCAAAAAAGGACAGGGAGAGGCCTTTTCGGCCCCGACCTACAGGGCGCTACCCTGCACTCTCACCACCGTGCAAAACGCCCCCCTTTCAGAAAACTGGGGGCGTCTTGCCCCATGCATCGAGTAGGCGTCTTGCCCCATCCACTCCATTTCCGGTCAACAAAATATTGACAAAAAACGCGCCACTAACGCCGCAGCATAATATAATCAACAGAATGACAATAAAACGCAGTTTTGAGTGATGTGCACAATAGCAAGGTTTGTGATATAGAGAGGGCATCAAAATATTAGGAATCTTCTGCAAAAACAACAAAAACAACATCCAAAACCAACATCAGCACCTACCCACGCTGCTCCTCAAGACTCAGAACCGGAAATAGAGACCTACGTAAACAAGCAGCTGACTGTTCTGAAAGACAGGATAAAACACCTATCCGTCGATAAGAAATACGATTTTTTTAGGGGAGGCGTTTAACCCAGGGGTGCGTTTTCCCCACAGTTACCCTACGTGTGTTTAGGTAAACCTTTTTTAATAATTATCTGCTTAGGATGATTATAATCCTGTAGACATTGGACATTAGAATATAAACCTAATGTCAAAATAAAAGAAACCTTAGATATAGAGTAGCTGCATTTAAAGCAATCGTAATTAGGTCAAACGTAATTAAATCATAATACCGGTATGGCATTCATGCTCAATGTTTAAATTATAAAACGTTTTCTATGACGAACATCCACAATTAACTAACTATATAGAGCCGTTTAAGTAACTTTCCCGCATCATCAAGACCCTCGGCTACCTATGAATGCTGAATAAACACATTTGAACCCTAAATGCACATGAATGATATATGAGAAAAGTTCAGTGGAAGGGCTCCACTAATAGCAGGCGGAAAATATAAAGCTCTGTTGCACCGCGATATGATGAAAAAGTCGTAGCGGTACGGAACAACATAACAGAAACAACTATTTAGTGGAAAACGTTGCAAGTCTCCGTTGTCCTCTTCATGTTCAAAAATACGATTTACTTATTGAGTTTGATTTCTCGATTTTGTTTTCATTCCTAATTGCCAATTCTGGTCAATGGTTGTTCCAAGAAACGCAGCTCACAACGGCTTTCATGACAGAATAATTCAGACGTGATGGTTACTGTCTCTGCTAAGTATAGCGGTTTAGTAAGTCGGGGTCACCTTGCACACGACCCTTTCAGCTTTCGACTATTGAGGTAGGTATCTAGTTATTTCACTTCACTCCTGCCTGTACTTCTCCTCCCCGCTCGAATAGTGGCATTGTCGTGCGAGGCATTTGGTCATGAATGTGATATTGCGCCTTCTGCACAGCGATCTCATCTCATCTCATATATTGTTTAACACATTCATTCGAAATAAACAATCAGTGTCACCTCGATTGGCGCAAAAGTGCCGGAGCACTTAAATCGGGGCGCCTCTCGAGTCCGCAAAATCACACTGGGTGCCGCCCACAGCCTCGCAGCCGCTGCCCGCCACCGCGCAGACCGCTCTCAATAGATGTAAAGGCGCCGCCGGCGCCGAGGGCAGCGCTCTGTGGCGACCGGTGTCAAAGGACTGGGCGTTGCATGGTAGACTTCGTCAAAGCACCGTTCCAAACCGCCTGCCAGCTAACCAAATCACTACCAGCGGGGCAAACTCCATGACAGCGCAAATTACGACTGGCGCAGTTTTCCACCCATTTGGTTGCGTTTTACGCCAAAACAGTTTCATAAAGGAATTGCGGGTGCAATCATAATTCATAATATTTTATTTGCTGTGATTTAAATAGTGAATGAAGTAAAACACAGTCCAAGACGAACGAAATCACACAACCGGCGCATAAAAACTACGCCCTCCGCTCCTATTAAAACCACCCATTTCTAGATGGTTCTTAGGGTGTATAAGAATACACCTGGATTTAAAACATGCTGCCAAGGTTTGTGAAGTCGGCAGCCGTTTTAATAACCGAATGCCGTGTTCGCTAATCCAACAAGCACTGCGAATAGGGCCGCTGAATCATATTCCATCAGCGCCCTTCCTCGGCTCATGTGCTGGAGCGGCTAAGCAGATGCGTCGACCGCGGTCTCTCGGCACTGACCTTGAGCGGACAGCATGCCCTGACGCGGCGGCCCGGCCCTGTATTGTCCTCCGGGTTCAGTGAGTGGGCGGACGGGGGTCGTGGGGAGCCGGCGGACCGGCCATGAGTGCGCGGAATCAGAGAGGACGAGACTGCTGATTCATACCTGAGCTGCAGTTCAACTCAGTGAAGGATGGTGCCTAATGCTGCCTGCGCTGCCTAATACAGCAGCGCAAAATAACCAATATTTAAAATTAGTGCGGCACGGAATGATGGGCTTCCCGCTTTATGCTTCAGAAGTGGTCAGATAATGCGTTTTTAGATTGAAACTTCTGACGGACATTTTACAACGTACCCATGCTGTCTCAGGTACGCACGGGTGCATTTATTGAGTCCGTTCAAACAAATCATAAAACTAAACATAAAGGTACATGACATACCTCTTTATATCCTACCGACGAATACGTTTATAGACAATGTGCAGTTCGCCGACGTACGGCCCTCCAGGTATTAAGTGGTTGGTTTCCAACATCACAATAATCGATCTGCATTGATGAATACGTCTAATGGCTGTTGAAAACCATTGCCGAAGTGTGTGCACAAACCCTCTACTCACTTCTATTGAGTCATTTTACAGGATCTCTGTGATCTGTCATTCAAAGTTATTACACCAAAAGCACATAGGCTAACCAACCACAATTGCTGGAGGGCCGTACACATGCCAACAGCCTGTCCTGTCCTGTCTCAGTTGATACAACACAGGCGATCACGTGATAAATCGCCCAGGTGACAGGCAGCGCTTCAACACTACCACGCTGACACAGCATTGAGAGATCACGTGATCCCGGCAGTGTGACACGATCCAGAGCAGCGGTGACGTCAGCTGATGGACATTTTCCGGTAATAAATCGGCGGTTTAAACCGACCAAAGCCGGGGATTTTGGGGTTTACGAAATAGCCTATTTCCCATGCAAAACAGTCGTTTGTGGTATCTAACCGTTCAAACGGTAATGGGTTACATTCGATAGTAAATTGTTCAGATGTTGACTGATGCCTTGCTTTGTTATTCATTGGCCGTTTATTTTTCTCACAGTCAATGACAATCCAAAAACAGTGTAATAAGACCAGACGTTTCGACAACAAAGTGCCTTCGTCAGTGGAAAAACAAGATATCTTGTTTTTCCACTGACGAAGGCACTTTGTTGTCGAAACGTCTGGTCTTATTACACTGTTTTTGGATTGTCATTGACTGTGAGAAAAACGAAATGTCTGACTCTTCTAATTGGCCGTTTACATTTTGCTAACCGTGTTGGTTGGCATTGACCAGAATAGCATCGCACTGGGCAGCACTTTGCAGCTTGCAGTGCATCATATACGACGCAACCGAAGGCTTGTGCTCAACAGCTTAAACACTATTCGTTAAGACTGTTTTTCTATTGAAAAACAAACCTGGGTTCTCCCACAATTTTGCAAAAGTTGCCTGAGATAAACGAAGTCCCATCTGTTATGCCGCCCACACACCCCACGGCCATGGATTACGAGAAGTCTTGCGGAGCAGATTCGATGTTCTCATCTGGCTTCCTGATATCGTCAATCGTCATGGGATTTCCCGACTCGACCAGCTTATGAAATTGACGAGCGAATGCCGACAGTTTAAACGTGACAAACATCCACAGAGGGATACCAAAAAAGTGCCCGTCTTTTTGTACGCCTCACCCTCAAAAGCTTCCATCCATCCCCCCCCAGCCTCCTCCCTAACCCACACCCCTTCCCCTCTCCTCCATCGCCAACACCACCATTCTTCGTTAGACGCGTGACTATCGGACCCCCGGTACTCCACGAACGTTGTCCGTTATACAATGGGGTTATTTGGAAGCCAGTATCTTTGGTAAGTGTGATCGTAATCGCCCAATATGGTAGCCAGTAGGTAAGTGCTGCACCGTTTCAGCTCGTATTCGGACTTGGGTTCGTTTTTTCCGACTACTCCATTTATGCGATGTGCAAATGTCCCACAAGTGTAGCGTGTGGACCGCAAATTGGGCATTTGTGTGTCTCTTAGCGAGGACGAACGCTCTACTTAAATACCGGGGAGCCTGAAGACAGGCTTTGTTCATAGCGCTTGGGGTTTTGTTCCTAGTATGAGGCATTTGTCACTGTCCTTTTCCCATGCCTTGTATTGATTGTTACATGGGTTGAATAAAAATAACCATTCTATTATAACCGCAGGAATTCGCCGCGGCCCTTCACACCGGCACAACGCACTCACATGACATGCTTCCACATAAGTACCTCCGTGTGCCGGATTCAGTCGGGAGTGAAAATCACCGCGCACACAATGGCTGTGAATCGTGACCGGAATATGGCCGTGCCCGGCCCTTTATGTATCTGCTGGCGCGCGGTGCTAACTGGTGTGTGCATGCCTCAGCGGCCCCCGTTTTCCGGCCTGTCCGCAAGCGCCGTTTCTGGGTGCAAGGGGCCCACCGTTTGAGACCGAAGCTAGAAGCTCATGATGACTTTCAACTTACTACTGATTAATTCATGGGATCGCGAAGGCTAGCTGAGGAGCTAAACGTCTTCCGCCAAACCAGTTCCACGCCTGTAAGCGGCTCTTTGACATTTCAACTGATATGAAGCGTCAGCGGCTGACCCTTCGACTCTTTAAATTGCTCGAGCGACTCTTTGGGGCGATAAACAGTCAGTATTTCGCTGGGAATTGCAGTGAGACATGTCAAAGTCGAAACTTTCGAGATCGTTTCGCAACATCATTCGATTCAGCGCTTGTTACTCTCGCTGAATTGAGTGACGGACCACCATGGTATCGTTCTGACTTGGATACGTGCAGTATGAGCCTTTCTGTCATGTGTGCCCAATAGCCAAGTTTACCAGCCTCCAATGCCTCTTGCCTTCCAGGCTGCGCTAGAGCAGAAGCAGTACCACCACGCCGCCTACGATGGCCTGGAGGACTTTGTGGAGCGCTTCGGAGCCAGGCCGTCCGGCTCTGACGAACTGGAGGACTCCATCGACTTCATGAAGAAAAAGGCGGAGGACGACGGCTTCAGGGTAAGAGAGGGTTTTATAATTACCTATTGCTGCTGACATGAGGAAATAGAGGCAACAAACAATTGGCATGGGGATATGAGGATATGAGTTGGCTTTTATTTTCCAAGGCCATAGAACTACGCACTCATCCTTGAACATCACGTCCACAACTGTTTAACTGCTTATGCATCAGACAGCAGGTGGGTAATGTACATGACGCCTGTCGTTAAGCGCTGTTAAACACTGTGCGGTCAGCCGAATGTAGAGAGTGGCTTTTCAGCCGACATAAAGTGCTGTTTCATTCAATTGCAGTATATGTAACGATTCTGAAGCACGTTCTTTACTTGATGAAACGAGGAAGTAGACGTTTGCCGATTTGTAAAGCTGGTGCTGTCATCTGTTGCGTGAGGTGGATACAGGTTTCACTTGATGCTGAATCATCGTCCGGGGCAGCGGTTGTATGTAGTGAAACCAGCGTTACCTCTTCCCTTCCGTGCAGAAGAATGCATGAATAGGTATAGTGGCAGACCTCAAAGGCTTCAACTGTTTGAATGTCTGGATAGAAAGCCATAAGACATAAACAAGTCATGGTCTGTCACTGTCTCTTTGGTAATAAGCCATCTTTTGTCGACAGGTGCACACGGAGGAAGTGATGGTGCCACGCTGGGTCCGCGGGGAGGAGACGCTCATGATGCTTAGTCCTCGGCAGAAGAGCATGTCTATCCTGGGTCTGGGCACCACCATCGGCACCCAGCAGTACCCGGGCGGCGTGCTCAGAGCCGAGGCCGTCGTCTGCGACAGCTTTGAGGAGATGGAGAAACTCGGAGAGGCGAAGGTAGATATACTTCCCGGTCCACCAACACCTTGCTGTGACAGCTGAGTACATGTTGCAAAAGCTCTCGAATGAGATAAGAAAAACATCAAAGAGTTTATTCTCCAAATTCATCCGCTCTTGATGGACAGACACCGTAGTATCACACATCCATCCGCGTTCACTGTTTTCGGGCATTTCAGATCAAGGGCAAGATCATGGTGTTCAACGCGCCGTTCGGAGACCCGGTGGACGAGCCGATGAAGCGGTACGGCGCGTCGTACAAGTACCGTACCTCGGGGGCGGACCGGGCCGCCCAGTACGGCGCCGTGGCCGTGCTGGTCCGCTCCCGCACAGACTACAGTCTGTACACGCCGCACGGCGGATCCCAGTACTACGGCAACAGCACGCAGATCCCCGCGGCGGCCATCACAGCCGAGGACGCGCGCATCATCGCCAGACATTATAAGAAAGGTAAACTGCTGCGTTATGGGGTCGGACGAGAGTGGTTTTTTTCTCGGTGGAAGGTATAAGTATGGTGGTAGCTAGCTCTGAGGGTAGGCCTTACGCTTCAGACTTTAGGAAGTCTGAACGGAGTAAATAAATACATTTGCCAGCCTTTTTCTGATATGAAAAGGGACAATAGGTAGGTATACTGCCGCTCATCTGTGTCCATGTGCGTGCTTTTTTAGTGATAAGAAGTACTGACGACGTGCTGTCAAGACAAGAACGTCAGTTTTCGGGTCCCTTTTTCAATGGGTCTCTCTGTGCGTTTCAGGAAAGACAGTAAAGCTCATGCTGAAGATGTCTGCAGCCAACCTCCCGATGCGGAAATCTCGTAACGTCATCATCGACTACGGTCCTTCGGATTCCACCGAGCTGGTAATGCTGAGCGCGCACATCGACAGCTGGGACGTCGGCGAGGGTGCCATGGACAACGGCGGAGGCGTCTTCGTCAACTACCATGCCGTGAAGTTGCTAAAGGAGCTTGGACTGATGCCGCGTCGCACGATCCGGGTAGTGTTTTGGACTGCTGAAGAGGAGGGCTACTTTGGCGGCAAGGAGTACGTCAAGATGCATGAATTCGACATCAGCAAGATGCAGATTGCCATCGAGAACGACCTGGGCACCTTCCGTCCGGTTGGCCTTCGTGCGAAGGGTTCTGACGAGGCGGCCTGCTTCGTGAAGCACACCGCCTCCTTGCTGGGCGCTATCAACGCCACAGGCGCCTCGGACAGCCCGTCACTGTCGGAGACCCACCTTCTGCACGACAAGGGCGTGCCGGCGGCGGCCATCGACGTGGACCAGAGCCGCTACTTCTGGTACCACCACACAGAGGCCGACACCATGGACGCGCTCGACCCGCACGAGCTGGACCTCTGCGTGGCCACCATGGCTGCGTCGGCGTTCGTCTTCGCCGATGTGCCAGACCGCGTGCCAAGGTAGACCGCTCTGTAAGTGTTCGCTTGTTTCTCTAGGTGATGGCCTGCTGCGCTGTGGAAAACGGAGTCGGCTTGGGTTTGTTCAGCATACCCCTCCTAAGTCGGGTTCACGCGGTATTGGTATTGGTATCTTTTATTTCCAGAGGCATTTGCTAGCATGATTCATAAAGTTCGATATCCCGATACCCGAGAGGAATTGGGCTGTCGATCGCATGTATAGTTGAACTAACTGCAAGTATTACCTAATCAAATTGTGATAAATAATTACTCTGCCTACATATCTAGCTCACATACTGGTTTGTTTCTTAGCATCGTTCTTACTAACTTCCTAGCTCACTTTGTGATGCCTAAAAGTGCTTACTAATCCGATTTTCTGCAATCTGCATCCCAATGACTTATTATTTGTTTTTTTTTTTGCGGACAGGTTTACGTGTTCTTTTTTTGCACTTCATGAGGAAGTTTAACATTATTAACGCCGTGATCTTGTCGACCATAAACAGATCCAACACGTCAACAATATTTAGCTTTTTTGTCGCTTATCATTATGAATTCGATCAAACTTAATTTGCTAGTTAAAACGGTTTTTTGCTCCTAATGTAGGTTTACGAAGTGATTTGCGTAAAGCTCTCTGCAGAGCCATGATCTGGGATTCATTCAACGTAATCTGCCTTGAAACATCAGATGTAAAGATCCATAACATACATATGTGTATGCCCAATGTGTATGTCATACACATTGGGTATCCCATATACCATACCCACCACACAATTCAGTGATAAAACATTTCTGTTTCCAGTCAGGTGCCCGCGGAGCCGCTGATGGAGCTAAACACAGTCGTTCCGGTCGAACAGTAAGTTCTCACTGAACCGCAGACCAATTTGTATCTTGCTATTGCATCATGCATTCGCGCACGATGACGGAATAGGTGCTATAGGTCCAGGCGACCTGTATCTTTGATGCGGTGAATACCCTTACCCTCGCCACAGCTCGGGCCGAGTGCACCCCTCCTCCCACCTAGCGCCACCCCCACTCGAGTTGTGGCGAGGGTGAGGGTACTCACCGCATCCGCACTTCAGGTCGCCTGGGCCCTTATGTATCTTGAGACCAATATTACCTATTTACTAAAAATGGCTGGGAACCAGAAGACTGGTGTAAGAAGAATACAAAGAACATGTACGAATCCTTGGGCGTATGCAAGGGCGTATGTATCTTTTCAATATAAAAATTAAACAAAAACGAGATATTTGCTCCTTATCCACATTTTCGCCACTTATCTTGTGGCGTTGCGCTAATTTTGTTCATCGGTCCAACTGGTCTTCGATGTCCCAGCTCGTCGAAGAGAATGCGCATACATAGGTATCGCAAACTAAACATTCATATTGCTCGTTAGTCTACTTACTTGATGTTTCAGTCTAAACATTTGGGTCGGACGATCTGTATTAACACCTAAAAATACATTTCGCTTGCTCTGAGGGTTCGCGTTTATTTTTGTGATATTTAGGTCAGTATATAACATTTCCATCCAAAGTCGGTCAATTCAGCCGGATGGGTGTCTGACAGAGCGCGTGTGTTCCAGGAATTCGCGTGCTCTGCGGGGCTCGTCGTCGTCTCTGCAGGTCTCTCTGTGGCTGCTGATGTCGCTCGCTGCTCTGGTGACCCCGTTCGCCGGTGGAGCTCCAGAGGCGTAGGGCGTGCGTCCGAGACCGACCGGGTGCTGTCTGTACCTACAGAGTGCCAGTCACGCTGAGTGAGTGTATCCGGGTGCCGCAGACAGCGCCCACAGCGTGGAAGCCCTCTCCGCCGTCGTTTTTTTTTTTAGGAGTGATGTTTTACCCGGTGACTGGACGGCTTCCGTCCCTCACATATGACACGTCTGGTGGTTGTCATAGCAGGAGAGAGGGAGCGGTTAGTTTTGGAACTGATCAAAGAGACAGAACGTCAGACTTAATGAATCTCTAGACCGCCCACTCGTGCTCATGTTTACTTCGACGCTGCCAGGGCATGGCGAGTATTAGACGCGAACCTTATACACGATGCCATACGACGTGGTAGTTACCTACATGTACTCTTCTGTTTACCCCCACATGCTAGTTAAACGCTAGTTTACAGTTTGGTACGATGGAAGCTTTTTCGTTATTTAGTTTTAGAAGAACGGCACACTGGCTACCCGGCTGGTTGGTTTTCCGAACGGAAAGTGTGCAGTTGCATTTTATTTTACACACATGCCATGTCATACGAATGTATACTTAAACTGTGGAAAATCTGCAATACAAATGCAACATCATGGTGCCACATTGTGACCTATTGTTCAACAGTGACTAGCATCCTTAGCAGCACGTCGGCAGTATTCCAAGCGTGAAGTGATGGATCGTTGCATGCCGTATTTAAAAAGCGACCACAGTTACTGAGGTATGAGGACGAGCGACGTGGAATTGAGAAATAAGCTTACTCACCTCTCAACGTTACGCGTCAAACGAAATGCCTTCTTATAAGAGCATGTGGGCCCGCCTACAGGCCATATGAGACAAAGCTACAAAGCCTACTCATAAGCATCGGACAAGTTAAAACGGACCCGAGCGTCAGCTAGCGCTTATCAGCGGATTCGGTCCCCATTTATAGATTGATGTATTAGATAGCAGATGACGAACATTTTGAACGGCTCACCGACACAGTATATAGCTCCAGGCGTTTATCACTATATCTAGTGCTATCATCAGATCTACTGCTAATATGTCTAGTGCTAAATTAGACTCGCATTCACCTGGTCTTTGACGTCACATTTTGAGCTGGATTTGCCAGTAAAAGGGTAGGGTAAAATTCAAAGTACGTATATGAAATGTTTATACTGTAGTGATGTTTGTAATGGATTGTTTTAATTTATAAAGGTATAACATGCACAGAACATGCACCTTAGGTCACGTGACCTAAGGTCAACTTTTGACCTTTCGACCTTTCGAGGTCACCATACATATGTTTCGATGCGGATCGACGAGAGGATCAGGATGGTGATATTAGTTTGTTCCAAGCTGGGATACCTTGAAAGTTATTCGAGAAAAACTTCATATATATGCAGTGCCGCAATTTTGACTTCCTTTTTGCTCCTGTGACGTCATCTTTAACCTGACCTGAAAATGACCTCAGTAAAAATTATAGACCTTATCCGTGTGTACCCTGCACCGTTTACCGCTATCTTGCTTCATTCTCGAGATCGTGTCGCTCCCGCTCGTAATAATGGACAGGTCATAAAAATGACCTGACCTGAGGTCAACGCAGGGCGATAGCCACTTTTCATTTTCGCATATGAATGACAATTGATAAGGCTTTAATCGTCATCAGACAAAATTGCAACTTTCAGTGGGGAAAATATCAAGGTCACTCTTCGAAAAATAGGTCAAAAGGTCACGTGATCAAAATTTTCAAAAATTGAAAATCCGAGATAGCCAAAATGTTTGCTGGTTGATTGTGAGTTGAACCATGTAAAGTTTTTATCTTAGAAAACCAATACCTAGTTTTTGAATTATAGGCCGCCGAACATAGGGCTGCAGCGTGACCTCCAGGAATTGCCCGAGTCTATATCTCGGAAACCGTTGTTCGAAGAAAAAAATCCTTGCCACAGCTGGCTTCCCCGCCCATCACAACCCATAAGACCAATTTTAAGCAAAAAATAAAATATGAGGGTGCAGGGCACTTGTCGATTTGTCGTGGAACTTAGTGGAAATTAGTGGATTGGTACTGGATAGTAACCTGTTCCCTTGTCCAGCTCCGGCTTCAGAAGTTACGTTCAACACAAAAGCAAATGATAGCGAAACACACGGTTGTGCGAGGAAACTAAATTAAATTGTGTACTCGTATTAGGCCGTTATTTTTTACCACGTTCAGCCAGATGCTACCTACGCCGGACTCTCCGTCGTTTAGTCCAAGCAATTTAAACAGAATGTGCCGTGAGTTTATTAAACAGGTCGGTCACAGCTCGTGGGTGACATTGCGGCAACAACCCCTTCAAAACCAGTTGGAGGTGTAGGCGATGAGTCGGACTCCGAAAAAAAAAAACATTTTCAGTGCTCATACATATACGTTTATTTACACGACGCACATGCATAGTCTCATACTTATTCACATGCGACAAAAATGCATGAGACAATGTGCTCATACGGTAAGCTTCATGTTATCCGAAATGCCTCATATTATCGATTCACACGGTAAGCTTTGCAATAAATGTCTCATGATACTGCTAATGCGTGGTTCTTGGTCCACCTTTACATGTGTATATTAGCATGGTATTATGGTAAATACGAAGCTCAGTATTGTCGTGGCGATGGACACTCGGAAAGTAATTCAGTCGTTCCATCGGGTGCTGGTCGATACGGGAGGTAGGAACCATTGGTGCAATCCTGTACATAAGCGTCGTGCGTGACGCATATAAGTTACAACCATACGCTGCCGCGAGTGATTTGCCAACATGTCACACTACACCTGCTGCGGCCTTGCGTCTAACAGCGGCTAGAGGAGCGAGTTTGATAGCAGTAAAACCAGCTTTATACGCCACGCCACAAGCCATCGCGCAACACAATAATGCTGATGCACAAACAAAATAAAGATGACAAATCATGCTGTTCTATGGGGATCTATGTATTCTGTAGAGGATTGAGTGCCTATGCGAATTCTCACCATCCGACCTTAGAAATCGAGTGTCGGGCTGCACAGAAGATGTGCCATACCTTCCCCAAATTACTGTAGGCTCAGCTTTAGAAAATGTGGCATTTACGCAATTCACTCGGGATCTAGGGGCGGTAGAAACTGTCACTTATCGGTGCTCTGAAAGAATAATTTGGAGGCAGGTCCCGAGGGGACTGCGGGTGGTCCCGCATTGTTCACTTCTGATCGGTTGAAGCCACTGTTTGACCGGTTTGAATAAACATGCCAGACAAATATATTTACATTTCTGACATGACAAATACCAGATGATTAAATATTACACACATTAACAACAGTTATGCATCTGAAAAAGGCAGCTGCAAGTTTGAAAGGACTTGGCCAATTTTCATTACTGATCCAAATTGAACATTTAAGAGAAGTACATATATTATATAGCCTACACGGCGCATAATTTGGGGCGACACTCTCGACTCCCTGATAAAACCTCTAGATATCTGGTGTTCATGCTAGCATTTGTTTTTTCATTATTTTTCGTTAAAGGAATTTCAAAGTGGATGTCATGTACCATGTTATCAAGAATACCGGTGTCACGCAATGCTGCAACCGCAATATATCTACCGTAGAAACGTATAAACACAGTTCACGATTCATCGCTATACTTGGCCTATGTCGCAAGGAATGCCTGACACACACACATATACATCCCCAGGTATGCATAATAGATAACAGTCGACCTACTGTTATCTGTGGAATCGTCATTACAGCTGTCACCCTGCGTCGTAGCTTCTTTTATCTACAGAAGCTACACCGTTACTAAATAATGCATTAAATAGCATTCCAAATCCCCGCCAATCGTCGTGACGGTCCACTAATATCGCGGTGGTTGGTAGCGGTCGAAGCTGGGAACGCCAGTTTCAAGCTACCTGTAAAAGTAAGACAGCGCACTCGCCGCATGACCCGGCCCGACCGGACTGTTGGAATGTGGGCCCGATTCAGGCAGGCGTTGTCGATACGACCTCGTCCACGCCCTTCTGGCTGGCGGTAACGGCCGACGCGGTGGTGGGTGCCTCCTGGCCGCAGCCGAGCCGGCGTCCCAGCGCCTGCCGGTACGCCGGATGGCTGATGGCGTACGCGAACGGGTCCAGGCAGGCGGCCGTCTTGCACGTGCACGCCGGAATCATGGAGACGAGCGGCGTGACGTAGGCCTTGCCGCCGAACGCCCCCAGGAAGGCCACGGCCGCATACGGCGTCCAGGCGAACAGGTAGAGCGCTGTCAGCATGACGCCCACCTTGGCGACGCGCAGTTCCTGACGCATGTCGCCGTCATCGCCGGCGCGCAGCGACTTGACGTTCATCTGCGCCGACTGGGCGCGCATGGTGCTCTCGTGCGCCGAAACGTGCTTAAAGATGCGGATATAGAAGATGGCGATGGACAGCACGGGCAGCACGTACATAGTGAGGAAGATGCCGGCGATGTAGGCGCGCGTGTCCCAAGCGTCAGACAGGTAGTCGATGCCGCACGACGTGAGGAAGCCCTCGGGGGTGAACCGGCTGAACAACTCCAGCAGAGGCAGCACCACCCACGGAGAGATGTACACCCACATGAGCGCGATCAGACAGAGCGCCCGGCGCGACGTCATGCGAAAGTCGACACCCATCGGGTCCGAGATCTTCTTGTAACGGTCGTAAGCGATGAGGGCGTTAGCGCACGACGAACCGGCGCCGGATATGGCACCGATAGTGGCAAACACGGCGCAGCCCACCCAGCCCAGCGCCGGGCCCTGGTGGAAGCTGTTATAGATCATGATGGGTGTCTTCAGCATCATCAGGAAGTCCATGGAGGCCAGGTTGATGATGAACAGGTTGGAAGGCGTGCGAAGTTCCTTGGTCGTGAGGAAGATCCAGAGCACGCTGCCGTTGCCGAGGACGGAGACAATGTGGAAGAGGATGTAGAGCATGCCGAGTACGTAGTGGGCCACCGGGTCTGGCGCGCGGAATGACAGCCAATGCTCGTTGACGTGCGTCAGGTAGTCGTCCGGCGTGTTCCATCCCAGCATCCGGACCTCCGAGCTGTGGCCAACGGGACTGGTCAGTCTCACCCCGTCCGGTCTGGGCCCGACTGGACATCGGACGGACAGGAATCAGAATAGGGCAGAAGGAACAATCCACGTTAACAAAAAGCATAGCTTACATATAGGGTGAACTCGGTGAAAATGCCTTTAACGCGTAATTTCATTAGGCCGTTGTTGTGCCTCCTCACAACGTAAAAAGGTGCTTGTCCCGATTACGGACACGATAATTGATAGAGTAAGATCATAACATGCCACGCAGCTTGGACTGAAGGGGAAAAGGGGCAGAGGTGGATAGTCACGTTTCACTTTCCAACTAGGTATGTGTTGTTTCGAGTTACCCATGTGCATAATTGGAAGCAAATGCCTAAAAACTGACGTAGCCCTTACTAGCATCGAGGTGTGAGGCTGTTTTATCTCAGTTCTGAAAGGATTTATCGTATACAAAAGTACTTTTAGGCGTGGCTGCGAATTCGGAGTAGGAATTGCTCGCAGTCGACAGTTCTAGCCGAAGTCGGAGTCAGCATTGCGAGAAAAGAAGGAACCGGCTGCAGCGCCAGACTTTATACTTTTAGCGTTGCATGCCATTTATAAAGCATAATTGCAATGTAAGACCTTGGAAAGTGGTACATGCAAGGGATTGTTTCAGGCAAGATGAAAAGATCTCCCACATGAACTTTATATCTAGCAGCTGGAGCCGCAGCTGGAGTCGGAATGGATTTCCGAAATCGGGAGTCTTTGTCAGAGTCGGAATCACCGAAAATGCATCGACTTTACAGCCCTGCTATTAGTTATACGGGGAATCTACTATTATAAATCTTAAAAAGTCCGCCGCCGCCCACGCCCACGCCGCCGTCGGGGTTACTCCCAAAAACGCTTATTGCGGCTCCGTCGATTGACGCAGGATGGTGAAATTTTTACCACTCATGGGTCACGTAAATGAACAGGTCGTATTAAATTTTGGGCACGATGCGGCCGGGGGTGCGCCCGTGGCGCGTGCTCATGTGCGCCATAGGGTTAGCATTAGAATCGGCAAAAACAGGCTATTGCTCGGGAACGGTAAGGGCTACGGGGGTGAAATTTTCGCTGTAAGTCGATCGCGTGCACTCATTTGTCATATTAAATTCTTGAGGGGGTGGGTTCAGCGGTGTGCACGTGATGGGGCCGCGACCGGCGCCGAGCAGAGGGCACGTGCTTTAGGCTCAGTTGTTCGCTTAAAAACTGACTGGAAATAATCAGAGCCGGAAGGTCATTGACCTTTGACAACGAATACCGGCGCCGGGCACCCCTCGCCAAGGGGATTCGCCAGTAAATACGATAAATTTGTGTTTGCAATATCTCAGCCGTTTCTGGGCCGATTTAGCTGAAACTTGGATTGTCGGTGGCAGTGTAGGGTAGGGTAGGGTAAGGTAAAGTAGGGTAGGGTAGGGTAGGGTAGGGTAGTGTAAAGGTAGGGTAGTGTAAAGGTAGGGTAGGGTAGGGTAGGGTAGTGTAGGAGTAGGGTAGGGTAGGGTAGGGTAGGGTAAGTGTAGGGTAGGGTAGGGTAGGGTAGGGTAGGGGATTGTAGGGTAGGGTAGGGTAAGATAGGGTAGGGTAGGGGATTATAGGCTAGCGTAGGGTAGGGTAGGGTAGGGTAGGGTAGGGGTAGGGTAGGGTAGGGTAGTGTAGGGGTAGGGTAGGGTAGTGTAGGGGTAGGGTAGGGTAGGGTAGGGTAGGGTAGGGGATTGTAGGGTAGTGTAGGGTAGGGTAGGGTAGGGTAGGGTAGGGGATTGTAGGGTAGGGGTAGGGTAGGGTAGGGTAGGGTAGGGTAGTGTAAGGGTAGGGTAGGGTAGGGTAGGGTAGGGTAGGGTAGGGTAGTGTAAGGGTAGGGTAGGGTAGGGTAGGGTAGGGTAGGGTAGTGTAAAGGTAGGGTAGGGTAGGGAAGGGTACGGTAGGGTAGTGTAGGAGTAGGGTAGGGTAGGGTAGGGTAGGGTAGTGTAGGGGTAGGGTAGGGTAGGGTAGGGTAGGGGTAGGGTAAGGTAGGGTAGGGTAGGGTAGGGTAGGGTAGGGTACTACCATACAAAACACTTGAACACCCCGCACCTATCACCAACCCCTACAGTTTAATTAAAAACAGCTATCCAAATCTATCCAAATAATACATCTTAAAATACAAGTCAATCACCCAAACTAATGCACCCGTAACATAATATAAATCAAAACATACAGTTATCGCGTAAACCTGTACCTCTAGTCTATATTATAAATCCTAAAAAGTACCCCGCCGCCGTGTGCGACGTAGTCACTTTGTAGCGCTTATTGCGGCGGCGTCCGTTGACCTACGGCCGTGAAATTTTACAGCGATGTGGGCCACCTTTACACGTAGGTCGTATTAAATTTTGGACATGATGCGGCCGGGGGTGCGCCCGCGGCGCGTGCTCGCGTGCCCATAGGGTTAACATAAGAATTGGGAAAAACACGTTATTGCTCGGGAACGGTAAGGGCTACGGGGGTGAAATTTTCACTGCAAGTCGGACGCGTGCACTCATTTGTCGTATTAAATTTTCGAGGGGGTTGGTTCAGCGGTGTGCACGTGGTGGGGCCGCGACCAGCGCCGAGCAGAGTGCACGTGCTTTGGGCTCAGTTGTTCGCTTAAAAAACTGAGTGGGCCGGCAGGTCATTGACCTTTGACAACGAAGGCCGACACAAGGCACCGCTGGCCAAGAGGATTCACCAGTAAATACAATTAATTTATTTTTGCAACATCTCAGCCGTTTCTGGGCCGATTTAGCTGAAACTTGGACTGTCGCTGGTAGTGTAGGGTAGGGTAGGGTAGGGTAGGGTAGGGTAGGGGATTGTAGGGTAGGGTTGGGTAGGGGATTGTAGGGTAGGGTAGGGTAGTGTAGGGTAGGGTAGAGTTAAGTAGGGTACAGTTAGGTAGGGTAGGGTAGGGTAGGGTAGGGTAGGGTAGGGTAAGGGTAGGGTAGGGTAGTGTAAGGGTAGGGTAGGGTAGGGTAGGGTAGGGTAGGGTAGTGTAAGGGTAGGGTAGGGTAGGAGTAGGGTAGGGTAGGGTAGGGTAGGAGTAGGGATAGGGTAGGGTAGGGTAGGGTAGGGTAGGGTAGGGTAGTGTAAGGGTAGGGTAGGGTAGGGTAGGGTAGGGTAGGGTAGTGTAAGGGTAGGGTAGGGTAGGGTAGTGTAGGGTAGGGTAGGGTAGGGTAGTGTAGGAGTAGGGTAGGGTAAGGGTAGGGTAGGGTAGGGTAGGGTGGGGTAGGGTAGGGTAGGAGTAGGGTAGGGTAGGGTAGGGTAGGTAGGGTAGGGTAGGGTAGTGGTAAGGTAGGGTAGGGTAGGGTAGTGTAGGGGTAGGGTAGGGTAGTGTAGGGGTAGGGTAGGGTAGGGTATGGTAGGGTAGGGTATGGTAGGGTATGGTAGGGTAGGGTAGTGTAGGGGTAGGGTAGGGTAGGGTAGGGTAGGGTAGGGTTGCGTTCAGTAACATCCTAACTTACAAAGGGCTCGAACAACTCGCATGCATCACCATCATACTTTACAGTTCAATTAAAAGCAGTTACCCAGTTCTACAAAAATCATACCAATAAAAATGCAAGTTTCTACACCCAAACTAATGCATCCGTTAATCATACATATCAAAACATACAGTTATCGCGTAAACCTGTACCTCTAGTATAAGATAAATTACAAATTTGTTCTTATGCTTTAATCGGTCTTAAACCTTCGCCCCAGTGCAGTGGGGGGGGGGGGGCATATGTTACCACCCTGTCGTGTTTTTTTGCGTGTGAATAAAAAACAGCGGCGTGTAGCGCCGCGCCGCCTGGGGTAGCTTTTTGTGCCTCAATTTTGGACAATATGTGAAATTTTTGACACCAGGTCATGTCAGGTCAGGTCACCAGGTCAAGTTATTGACCAAGCCTAAAAATGTTTGCAATCATGTCCAGCCTGCAGTGCTTGTCAGAGAGGTTTTAAACTTGATGGGTTGCATGATGTTATGGATGGGCGCCTATAATTTGTATGTCTCGGATTTTTTATATCCGTGACCTAAGGTCAGGTCAGCGGCGTGACCTTTCCCAAGTCAATGGAGAAAAACGAAAATGCCTCTAGATCCGTGTGTATGCATAGGAATAGTCCAAATATTTCAGAATCACAATAATTTGGACCACCCGTGATGAACATGGTGTCTTTTTTGCCGATAGCCTCTAGAAAGGTCACCCGAGGTCATTTGAGGCTACAAACAGATTTTTGCCAATAACTCTCGATTGAAAAGAGATAAAACGCTGGGGATGGCCTCATTGTGTTTGTCCTGCCGAGACGCATCGACTGATATGCAACATGACCTTTTCCGGTCAGGTCATGTCCTTAACCTGAGGTCAACTTTTCAAGTTGACCTTTCAAGGTCAAATCATAGTTCATTCAACGCGTCTTGGCGAGAGGAACACGATTCTAGCAATAGAAATGTCGTGGCTTTTTTAGTCGAAAGTTATTGTCGAAAAACACTTTTCGTAAAAACAGCTATTTTTCGAGCTTTTGCCCTCTGGAGGCTAAGCCGTTGACCTGAGGTCATTTTTGATAATGACCTTATCAAAAGAAGAGTTTAAAAGCTATCGATTGCTTTTCCATGCGCTTTTCTAGCTATCATAGCATTTGAGAGAACGGCATCTTTCTGAAAAATATAATGACAATTCGCAAATTTTGACCTTTGATGACCTCTGGTGACCCCAATATTGCTCTAAGATGAAAAATGACTGAAATACTTTCAAACGTACGCATTGAGAGCTATCGACTGCTTTTTACCGCGTCTTTCTAGACCTCTTAGTTTCTGAGTTAGAGGTGGGTGGTAACATATGCCCCCCCCCCCCCCACGAGGGCAAAGTTGAGACCGTCACTTGGGGCGCGGGTTAAATCCACTGACCGGTATATAATTAAAAGGCGGTAAAAGGAACATCGGCGGTAGCTATTCATATTGCATAAGCTTGCATTGTAGCTAACAACAATCGGTAGGCATACCTACTTAATTTGGTTAGATTTATGGTGGTGACGACATACGAACCAGCTTGATGTCGGAAATTTCATATAAGAATTAACTAGATGTCATTCAGAGAAGACGTTGCCAAGTTTGATTAACTCGGGCACATACATATTTATCTATGCTCACTGAAAGGCTTCTCTAGATGTGACTCAGGGATAAACCACTAATATCGCCACGCCATGTGCGGATCGCCCATGATCGTAAATACATACATACATACATACTAGTACATACATACAAATCAGTAACGAAATGCACGGATAAAGACATGTTCAGCCGAGAGGAAGATATCCACATACCTATTCAGATACCTATGTCCATCTATGTCCTATATATATACCCATTTATAATGTATTTCTATTTATACCTATATATAAGATATTCACATAATTCACATACCTGAGAGGAAGATGGGTGGGCAGCGTGCTCTCGTTGAGGCCGTCCATTGTCGGGCGGGAGGTCTAGCCGAGCGTTTCCGAGCAGAGCACAGGTGCGACTCATTGTGTGTGCTGCGAGTCTCTTACTTAAGTTCTTCCCGGCCGCTGTGGGTATAGGGCTTCATGCTTTGGTACGGCTTCGTGCTTGTCCACAGTGATACGCCGAAAGCCAATGCCGATTTAATGGAATCGGATTATTCCCACGATAAGTAGATACGAAGGAGCATAACAAGCTTAACGCGTTAAAATAAGACAAATTCTATGGAATGGTCTTAGGTTTGAGTTCAACACACACAGAAGAGGGAATCCGTCACACCTTAAACCGCGCGGGCCCGGGGGACAATGTTTACCCCCCCCCCCCCCGACAAATATTTGCGATAGCTCCTGAGCGCTTTGCGGAAGAGGCACCAAACTTTCAGTACCCTTTCCCCCATCAATTTCACATCTCCTGGAATAAAAAGTTTGGACCCAGCCCCATTGATGACGTCACAGGGCCGATTTTTCTAGACCCTTGCACGACAAATTTCGACGTCACAGACGTGAACTTCAAACAGCTGCCAAAAATCTTAGTCTTAGAGTCTTAGAGCTAGAGACAATTTTTTAGCACGGTTGTGCAGCATATGAGTTGGGTAAAAATATAAATGGTGATCTGAGGTCAGAGATCAGGTCAGCGACTCCGAGCTGGAATTTTACTTTTTCGACAATAACTTCAACAAAAATGGCCGTAGAGCTAAGGCAGTGGTACCAACTTATTCAATGAAATAGCCTTTAGCAAACACACTCTTGCCCGACCTTGACCTTTGGGCAGCCTTTTATCGTAACATAAACCACAAATAGGTGCATGATATCCTTCAGAATATTTCAAAACATTTTGGAAATTAGTGTACAAGATATACGAAAAAGTGCAAAGTTTGAGGTCAATTTTGAGCATGATCTTGACCTTGACCTGGGGGTTTGTGCACATCTCCATTTTCCTCAGATTCTCTTCTGTGAGTTCCAACCCGTTTTAACCTGTTTCATGCATTCTGCCGTCCTCTGGAGCACTTAGTTTAAGGTCACTACACATGTGCCGTTTTTTGCCTTTGACCTTGACCTCTGACCTTGAAATTTGACCTAAGGTCAAAAATTTTAGATGCTTTGGAACCGACTCATAGAGACCTTTCGTTTCGTACCATTTTTGTTTCCGTGGCTCCTATATTTACGGAGTTAGACAGGGGGTAAATATTGTCCCCCCGGGCTGAGGTGGTTGGGATTCCCCCGGGCCCGGCCGGGTTAACACTTTAAGTGGCGGATACTGGATACCCCTATTAGTGCCAGAGCGGGGGGCCGAGGGGGGGATCGTAATCGGCTCTCACCAGGGATCTCGAGATCTATCGAAGCGGCTTCTAAAATTCGATCGCCAATCAAAAACTCTCTTCTTAAACTACCAACTAAAAAAATCGCATGTGCCACTCATAGGTATGTACTTACATACGATCGATTACGAGTTGATCGGTAGGAACTCTTTATCCACCAGTCGGGTACGTAAGTAGGTACATACATACATACGCACTGACAGCAGCCGCCTGGTATACTGGTAGACTGTGCCGCTCGACTTCAGTGCTACGCGGAAGCCTATCCACGCTGCTACATAGACACCAGCCCGGGTCGCCAGATGTTTTTCATCCCCGGTTCCATGATCGCTTTCATTCCGAGAAAAGTTGGCAGGTTTTGGGTGCTGGTGAATTCGGATCATGACGAATCCCATGAAGAAGCTTGGCCGTCGGCCGACAACCCGCACCGGAGACAAACGCGAAACAGACAAACGCGACAAGCGTCAACAAACAAACGAGACAAACGCAAAACAAACGCTAGCACAAAGAGCATCAATCGCCGTGGCCATGAATAACGCTGTTTCTGCATGGCTAGGCCAGCAGCGGCCAGCAGACCGGGACCGTCGCCGCCGCCGTGTGCGGCGTTTTCCAGCGTCTAGCGTGTAGAGGGGGGGGGGTCGGTTGGACCCCCTCCGAGATAGTGCTTCGCAGAAAAAACGAGTGTGTTGCCCGTGAGGGGAGGAAGCCGATGATACCCAATTTTAAGGACCTAGGTCATTGGTTCACCTTCCAGATCAGGTCAATGACCCAAAAGCCGGGAAAATTGTGACCTGCTAAAGCTTCGTAAAGTGCAGCTGTATTTGTTTTTCGGGTTGCTGATCACTATTTCTTGTTAGTCGTGAATCGTGATCACTTCATGCATTTAGGCCACGTCGGGTCAAGTCAGGTCAGATCAATCAGTAGGCGTCCTGCCGCCTATCCATAGTAGGTGTCAGCTTCCAATGCGGCGGCGTAACATGTTACAAAGGCACTAAAACTAACTACTTTGTAAATGTTCAAATGGTTGCTAAATTCGAAATCAGCCCAAACAAACATCATAGAAACATGTAAAACTCGAAGAAGTGAGCTGAGGGATGAGGTCATGAAAGGTCAATGACCTGACCTGACCTTCAGGTGACCTTGACACCCACCGTAATGCATAGGACGAACATCATTCACATGTTTAGACGTTTCCAATCACAAAAAGACTGGAAACGCGCGGATAATGTGAGCTGACACGCTGAATCGCGATTCCGGGCAAAAATGGTCTCGAGAAATAGGTCACAGGTCAACGATCGTTCAGGGTAAGGGTCATGCAATTTTTAGGGTAGGTGTAAAATTGATTAACTCGAGAGTACTAAAAGTTTCGTCGCGATCGTCCGGTTTTGCCCGAGTTATTCGCGAAAAACCAAGGGGGGTCCAATCGACCCCCCTTACACATGTGAGGGGCATTGTGTAGTAATTAAGGGGCCAAGCAAGCTTGCTTCGCTACTCGGTTCAAGCGCAACGAGATGTACTTATTAGAGTTTGTGTATGCATGCTGTTCTACACCTTGTACCTACATATAGTCTAGTCTATATGTTGCGGGCCAAGTGCGAAGGCAAGTCCATTCGCGAATGGCCTAGTCCAAGTGCGATAACGCACTTGGACTAGGCCGTTTGCGAATGAACTAGTCCATGTGCGTTATTGCAGTTGGCCTAGGCCGTTTGCGAATGGACGGGCGTTTATGCTCCAAGTCCAAGTGCGAAGTCAGGCCAAGTGCGAAATATCCAGCAAAGTGACGTCAACTTGGCAAGTCAGCTTAACTTTTTAACTTAACTTAACTTAGTCAAATTTTTAACTTGACCTTTCCAGGTCATATTATACACCATTCGATGCGCCTTGACGAGCTAAGAACGATAGCGTTTGAATCGATCCTATATCTTCTCTGGATCAATCACTGATCGGATCAGTGAAATAAAGGATTAGTGCGATTACAGCCTGCTTTCCGTAATTTCCGATACTTTTTTATTCTCAGCCGATAAAACGGAGGCATTCGAACCCTAATCCACTTAAAAACATGGGTTCCGTGAGTACGGGTCGGAATTACAACCCTAATCCTCCCGTAATCCGCTATGTCTCAAAGTGCACATGGAAACCGGGTCAGTGTCACCCTTACTACATCCTGAAAGTTTCATATCGTTTGCTCAACAGCTGTAGCTTTGGTGCAAGTGCAAACTTTTTCGGAGGTGACGTCACTTAACCTGGCCTGGTGACCTGACCTTAGGTCAGCTGGAGTCAGCATTTTCACACAATGTGCGCAGAATATGGGAGAAAAGGTATAAAAAAAATTGGCTTTGCTGCGCGCCGCCGTTTTCTCGTGATCTGTGAAAACCACAGGGGGGTTGAAAGCAACCCCCCTGCAGTGCGCGTATTGTTAAATGCAATGCAACACAACAGTTTTTCGAACACTTACCGCACCGCACTCACCACACACAAGCCGCACCGTCCCGGTACACCACACCAGAGCAGAATGAATCGAGCGCCACAAACTCGATCAAGGTCAGGTCGGGTCATCAGCGGGGAGCCCAGAGCACGGTACTAATGGTCTCCGCACACCACGCGACTCTCCGCTGTTCGAAGGTCACGGGGATATTTGACCTCCCCAGATCCAGATCGGTGGCCGAAGCCTGGCCAGCGGCAACACGTTGCTATAATTTCCGCGTTGTGCAGGGTTCAGCGGAAAGTCGCATCCCGAATGGACCAGGTGTGTGTAGACCTTAACCCAGAGTTGCGCCAGCTCGCAGATCTGCTCCGGAGAACAAACTTAACATATAGACGCAGTGGAGTCGCCACGGATTTTCGACTAGGGGATCTGGTCGGACGGTCAGTCAAAGTAATCCCCACCAAATACTGAAAACTTCTCGGATTTAGACAATTTTATTTTGAGAATGCACCAAAATCGTTTTTAAATATTTTATTTTATTCTTGATCGATTTTCGTGGCCAAAAGTGTGTGTGTGGGGGGGAGGGGGGGGGGGGGCGTCGGACCGGCATATTTTCAAGAATGTGTGTGTGTGGGGGGGGGGGGGTCCGGACCCCTCCGACCCCCCCCCCCCCCATCCGTCGGTGACGCCCCTGCATCGACCAGCGGTCCCCCATTCATTCGGAATCGTACCCCAATCCGAGGATCCATGCTTCCGGCGGCTAAGTGCAACGCACAAACCCGTCCGTTCGCAAACAACCTACTATGCATTTCAGACCCCATGAGACCCTGTTTTTCGGCGATAATTTCTTCAATTTTTGTCCAATTTGCTTCAAATTTTCACAATGCACATTTCAGCTCAAGCGCCAATTTTCGTCAATATGGTCTCTTCACAAAATATCAAATTTTAGGGTACTTGTCGTTGCCTCGTAATGTTAAAATCGGCTCCGTAAATCCGTCAGTGGAGTAGAGGCTATCCGTGCGTAGGCTGACGTCACAGGCACGTGACCATTAAGCTCCGCCCTCCCGGCGGACGGGACGGTGACCTTGGCCGGTCAGTCGGCTGCGTGGAGCGGGTGGGGCAGTAGCTGTCGCACCGGGGCGGCTCGCATGGAACGTAGCTGCCGTGCAGTTGTCGTTGCAGCCGTAACTTCATCAAATGAGTTAAATAGGGCGCATAAGTAACGCACTAGCTGAAGCCCTTGACTTTATATTTATCATAAATGTACGTACACCCTGTTCAGTCACAAAAAATATATATATTTCTTCACAAGATTCGGGGCTTGTGAAAAAAGGCATGTAAAAGACGCTGTTGAATGTTGATTTCGAATGATTGCGTAAAATTATGTATCGCGTCAGACTACGTCCAAATTGCAAAATAGAATCATCATTAATAGGATGCAATTTATGTGTTTGATATTGAAATTTGATTAAAAATGTATGCCGGCGTTGATCGATTTATACCATCCCGGTGCAACACAAGCAGGGCTGCGGAGTCGATGGATTTTCGGCGACTCCGACTCCGACTCCGACTCCGGCTTTCAAAAACCAGCTCCGACTCCGACTCCGACTCCGGGCAGAATTGTCGACTCCGACCGACTCCAACTCCCGACTCCGACTCCGCAGACCTAGCAGGGCTGCGGAGTCGACAGATTTTCGGTGACTCCGACTCCGACTCCGGCTCGGGTTTCTAAAATCGACTCCGACTCCGACTCCGACTCCGGTCACAACTGTCGACTCCGACCGACTCCGACTCCGACTCCGACTCCGACTTCGCAGCCCTGAACACAAGCATTGAACACCTTCAGGACCAGGGTTGGCATTTTTGCCGGCAAAAACTAGTTTTTGCCATTTGCCGGTTTAAACCGGTTTTAACCGGCATAAAGTGGCAAAAACTGGCAAAAACTAAAACAGTCAAAACGCTATGCCTCTACATGCGTTTGAGCAGGACACGTTTAAAGTAGGATTCAGTCAATACAATATGCTTTCAAACAGAAGTGGTATCTTGACCATTTTAGTGTTAAATAGTTCCGTGAGTCCTCTATAATTAACCAATAAGGCGCCTTTTTGGTGAGACAAATGAGAAAGTGCGCCGGCGGGCGGCGAGTATTGAAGAAGTGGGAAAGGGCATCTGCCACTGACTTGTGCACCGGACCCTACGAACCGGTTCCTAACAGTGTCAGTGCCAAATTTGTGCTTAGTCGACGTAGCCGTTCTCCCAATCTGGAAGCGTCACCCCGCACGTGCGCACGTGCAAAATGGACCCCGACCGACTATGCACGACACCCTACTAATCAGTCCCTAACGGTGTCCCAATTTGAGCGCAATCGACCCAGCCATTCTCGAGGTCTGGTCGGAAACGACTCCTGCATATGCTCATGTGCAGAAGCACACCAACAGCGATGCATGAAAGTGCACTTCCCGGTGGACATCTATTGACTACCGACAGACATTTTAAGCAGCGGTAAACTAGCGAGACAATGCTTACTGGGTCCCAATGACAGACATGACTTTGTACATTTCAACCGATTGCTTTTTAGGCAAACAACGCAGTTTTGGCTACTTGAGTTTTTGCCAGTTTCTGCCAGTTTTTGCCACCATGGTTTCTGCCAGCCGGTTTAAACCGGTTAAAACCACTGGCAACAACCAGTTTTTGCCACCCTCTGCCAACCCTGTTCAGGACTAATCCATTTTATCATAGACTTAGGTTGAGGAGGTCGCCGAACTAATTTTACCTCCAGATCTTGTGTGTTGAAATGCAAACATGAAAAGTAAAAGCATAGAGATAGTTACATCACCATTGAGGACATACTTACTGTTACATAAGTTTTACAAAAAGATACGTGTTTCTTGATGATCGTTCTCGTGTAGTGCCCAACGTCCACCTTTTTTGTGCACGTCTAAACAATATAACACACACATAATACCGCGATAAAGGCCATTTCTACTAGAGATGCCACTTTTGAGCCCGCGAACCCGCTTTCTGCGGGTTTTCAAAACCCGCAGGGTTTTTGGCGGGTTCGAGAAGCAAAACTTGTCGTGTGGCGGGTATTTGGCGGTCAGACTTAAGAACCTTTAATTTTTTTTAGATGCAAAACACAATGCCAAGTGCATTTGCTCAGGTTAACAATACAATATTGATCCAAACAACTTTTAAAACAGAACCAAATATAAAAATATATCATGGCAGCACATTTCAAATGCAAAACTGAAAACAACCAGCAATAGCATCCACAGTCTAGCAATGACCAAACCAGGGTACAAGCAACAAACTACAAAGCATAAATAAATGCTGATGAAAGCATTCCATAAAACATAAAAGAACCTGAAAGCAAACTTATAGGAAGCTGAACTGAAGTCCATGTGCAGTGTGCACTAGATATACATTATGGAAGAACCCAGACTTAAATGAGATGTTGAAAATCAGAGCAAATACCACATGTTACTTTATTTGCGTCTGGTCGGCATAAAAAAGACCTATCAGCTAAACAAAATTTGATGCAAATTTATTGATTACCTATCCTACTCTATGTTCTGTCCCACCCTATATTACGAAAATAGCACACCAATTACCCTTACTGTTACAAAAAATCAAAATATTGACTGGCATGCGGCCCAAACACAGCGCAATACAATACTGGCGCACTTCCGACATTATGACAAGGGCCCTGATCGGCGGCCGGCTAGTACTCTTGCCCGCGCTCACATACGTGCACGTTACCCCGGCAACGGGCTATTGACCAATGAGAAGCGAGAAAAGTGTTACGTCACTGCGATTTTTCATATACCTGTGCCCCCCGGACGTGACGTAGTGTGCTCGCGCGCGTGCAGGGTCTCTGCGATCGAAAAAGAGCGCTAGCAGCGCGCCACTCAACGCCGCAATTGTCAAAAGCGGCGTGTTAGTATGCTTTATTATGAATGATGTGTGTAAAAGTGAATTTTTATGTTGTTTATTTGGAGGAAATGGTTGGAATAAATTAAGTCATTTTTATTTCTGTTGGTTGGAGTTTTTATTCAAAAGATTTCGCTCTATACCTACCATTGATATTTACTGAAAATACCTTCGCTTGAATAAATTGCAGATATTTGGCAACTGAAGTGTTAGGTAAGCCTAAATGATATGTAAAAAGGTAAGAGACACCCTGATTATCATTTGAGAAACGAAAATATATGAATTTTCCTTATAATACTCGCTCAATATGCTACTCCGCGGTTTATGCCCCGAGGGTGTCCGAGGGTTCCCGTTAGTTTGTCGTTGGCGCTCGGCTCGCGCGCGAGCCGACGTCACCGCCTGTGACGTCGGCTCGCGAAATACGTCATACCCTGCACACAAAATAGCCGGCTGCCGAACAGCGCTCCGGATTGGTATTCGACTGCGTCAATTTTGGTCTCTGAGGCGAAGGAAAGCTGTCATTGATGACGCAATAATAATTTTACAATCAATTTTTCTGTCTTGGTTTTTGAATGCCTCAAAACAGCAGTTATACATGTTACAAAACCACGTAGCTGGTCGCATTTATTTCTTTTGTCTTTTTACGTCCTTATTATTTGTATGCCGAGAGAGGACCAGGCGGAGAGCATTACCAAGACCATCTATAAAATTATTACATTTAATTTAGTATTTGCTGTCTCTTTATTTCTTAACCGTTGATTAATCTCTGAATTGTAAAACTTCAGCTGTTGTGTAAAATAATTTTATCAGAATGGCACATGAATATGCATTGTACAACGGTGTTTTCGCAACAAGTTCGCACTAACTACGGCTGCAATAATTTAGTCGCTGTAACATTCCGTGCAATCAGCTGTTGGTGACGCTTTTGACGCATGTTTTCAGAAATGCGTAGTTCATTGGTGGTTAGTTGGTTTTTGCTCGGATTTTGCATGATTTGTTTTATGTGTAGATCGACCGGATGCTCATTATTCACCGTGTCACTATTTATTTTTAACTGGAAATCGCATATCTTTTTATATCAACATTCATTTTGATAGCAATATCATTCCAGAAGCCTAACATTGAGAGGGAGCCAGAGTGAAATTTTGATCCTCAGCCAATGCTGAAGGGTAAGGTGAGAGAAATATTTTACTGAACTCTTTTCAGAAAGGAATTTCAAATGTATTGATGCATTATTCATTTTCCACTACAGTGTGCACTTCCTGAGGACTTAGCATAGCAATTTCAAGTCCTTACTATTTGATTGGCTGTCTTTTTCTGCACAGCAATGAAGCAGGTAAGGTTAATATAGCTCTAGCATTGACCCAGCTGTATTTTTTTTCTTGCAAAAGCAGGTTTTTGAACTTGCGGGTTTTTGGCGGGTTCGGCTCAGCCAAAATCAGCTTGCGGGTAGTTGTGGTTGGGCAAGGGGTAGCTGTATAGGGCGGGGCGGGTAATGAAATTGCAAATTTGTGGCATCTCTAATTTCTACCATACGACACATTACGCTTCTGTCCCACCCGGCGCCTCCCACCGCTTCACGAATCACGAATACGGTCGTCTCGCTGGAGCGATGCCCCAGGCAATCGGCCGTGCCCGAGGCTCTTCATCCTACTTTGTTGCTTTCTGCGCCTTCCTCAGAAACATTTATTGACGCTGCCTTGCCAAATATATCAATATTTTTGGGTCATGCAGAGGCTTACGCATGATCTTATAGGTAATCGGGTAGTGACCTGACCCAACCTGACGATGAGATAGGTGCAACTCCGGCTTAAATAAATGTTCAGAGTTCAAGAGTCCATCTATTTTTCCTTCTACGGCCGATTCCGTTCCAATAGATCCTACCTTGATTCTGATCATTCTGAATATTCTGAGCTGGTTCAACGTTTAAATACCAAAAAAAGGAGAAGAGGACACCAAATGCCCTCGAACGGATAATTTCTTGGCTTTCGTCCCGAAACAACTTTCCCAGCTTCACTTGTCTCCATTATGTGGTCCCGCTGCGACCTCTCCGCAGTGCTGACACCGACTGAAGCGGCATAGACCCATCGCGGTCACGGCCAGTGGGCGGAGTCAAGTTGAGCACGGCGTAACGTGATTGGCCAGCGCTCCTATCCAATCCGGTGCGGTAGCGAGCGAGCCTCTATCCGGGTGCAAAAACTGATTAACATTACGAGCCAACGACAAGTGCTCTAAATTTTGATATTTTGTTAAGAGACCATATTGACAAAAATTGGCGCTTGAGCTGAAATACTGTCTGCCAAAATTTCATGCTAATTGGACAAAAATTGAAGAAATTATCGCCGAAAAACAGGGTCTCATAGGGTCTGAAATGCATAGTAGGCCATTCGCAAATGGCCGGCCATTCGCAAACGGACTAGTCCGTTTGCAAACGGACCGCCATTCGCAAACGGCCTAGTCCATTCGCGAATGGACTAGTCCGTTCGCAAACGGACTAGCCTTCGCACTTGGCCCGTAACATATATATGGTCTATAAGTAAGCTAGTATAAGTGACCGCGGCCATGTCAATCCAGTGACATTTCCCGCGGGCTTCAACGGCTGCCCCACACAACAGCAGTCAGCAAAAACTGTTTTGCTTTCTGGAAGAACTCATCGATTCACCGAAGCAGAACGCTTGCATAACGGCAGTTACATAAAAAACAATCCCTTGATTTTCCAGCTCCGACGGTGTCAGTGCACGGCTTCTTAACCTCTTGTTCTCTTTGGGCGGGGCACCGACACGGCTTCCTCCACAGCATCTCCAAAAACCGCCACTAGGACGATCCGGAACCGTCACTGGGGCGACCCGGAACCGCCGCTGGAACCATTACAGGGAACCACAACTGGAATCGCTAGGACGAATCGGAACCGCCGCTGCAACCATCACCACTGGGACTAGGACGGGCCAGGACCACTGCAAGGACCGCCCTTTGCGACCCGTAGACATCGTTCCTGCGGACTCAAACATGTGTTTGTCTATGTGACCACCAACGGAAAGCCTAGACGTCGCTGTTTTATTTTTTTTGTAGGTAACATAAAACATAACGTAATAGGCAGGTAGCAGACATGCGCATGTATATCCTAGAAATGGATCTCAAAGCAAATGATAAGTTAGGATCCATGATCCTAATAGATCCCATGTAAAACATTTCGTGGATCTATGATCTCATAGAATCTGAAGAATAATCAAGTACAGTGATCAATGATCCGAGTGGATCCTACCATACACTGGCGGATCCTCCAGGCTTGCGTTTTTTTTTTTGGGGGGGGGGCAACTCATGCAGGAGCCAAACCTAGGGTACCCCAAATCCTGTTTTCTCATCGGATTTAGGCCACTTATTTTTCGTCACAGCCCTGACACTATGATTTTTTTTAACTAAAAAGAAAAATATATAAAGGGTAGCCCACCCGACCCATGCCTTTATATTACTTTGTAAACACTTACCATTGCTTTTGTCGACCAGTCAACCCGCTTCGAGTCAGTGCTTGGGTCCCTTTGCGGGCCGGGAGGTGGTAAAACACTCCCTGTCTAACTCGGCTCTTGGGCCACGCACTGATTGAACTATGTTTCATTATCGTTTGGGGAGGGGGCAAACGGGCCACTTTAGGCCTCTGGGAAGGGGGCATGGCCCTAAATGTCCCCTCCCTGGATCCGCCAGTGTAAGAGACCATTGGAGCTACAGTTGGTACCTCAGACGTCAGGGTACGCCCTGCAGATGTATAGGACACGCGTGGAGACCTCTTATGCTATAGTGGACTGAAAGGACCCAAAGGAGCCCGTCTAGGGCTCCCGGAGATAGGCGTGGGCCCTCAGGAGCCCGCCAGAGCCCCCAAATGAGGGATAAGTGAGGGATAGCTCAGTTGGTATCCCTGAGCTATCCCTCACTTGTCCCGTACCTCAGTTGGTAG